TTGAACTCCTTATATGTGTGTGTCATATTTTAAAGCCTGTGACTATGTTCACAGTAGTTCCATGCCAGCATGAAAATTTCATGAGACTGGGACTGTAGATACTAGCAGCCAGTAGGAGTATTTCTGACCCAACCTCCTCTCAGGCCTTGCTTTGCTGCAGGGAGGGAGACACCCTCAGACTCCCTATTTCTCTTACTGTTCTTCCTCACTAGCTACTTTATACATCTAATATTTGCATCAAGCAGGAATTGAAGCCACTATCTTGTGTACCTGCTCTACGGTGGTCCAACCAGCAGTACCACAGGGCTAAGTAAGTCCCATGGCACTATCGCTTTCTCTAGACTTCTATGCTAACAGCAGGGGAAACCATTGTCATGGAATCCCCAGAACTCTATTTACTAAATATTTAAAATTAATTTCTACTGCATGAGCTGAGGGACCTTTTTCATTCTGGGTATAAGCTGCTGCTCTACTAAAAAAGCACCACTAGAATTGCTTAATGATCTTTTGACAGGTAAACTGTTTCCAATACTATGGATCATTCAACACTACTTCAGTGCTGATCATCCTGAAGTTTCCACATGGCTTAATGCTTATTTGATTCCCATTGTATACCTTTCATTTTTTTCTGAATCAAGAACCAAATTCTGATGCCACTGAAGTTACTGGAAAAACTTCCATTGAACCTAGTGAGATCCAGGATGCAGCCACAACAAATGGCTCAGGCTTTTGATGTTATGCTCTAAACGTGTTGGTATAACTCAGAATTCAGTACTGGGTCCTTAGCTTTTTTAATTTTATATTTACTTACTCCTCGGGTGTTCTGAGTCATATGGTTTTCATCATCATAATTATGCTGATATCCATTTCTATGATTCCTTTTCTGTCTTTTCTACCAAGGACAGATACTCAAAGAAAAATAACAGATGTCTCCATCTGAATGCCTCACAATGGTTTTTGTTTTTTTTACACTAAGTTCTGACAGAAACTTTCTTAGTTGGGAATGACATTCTGTGTTCTACCCTTGGGTCACATTTTATGGAAGTTAATTCAGCCCTACTGTCCCAGTAACAAGTATAGCTCTACTGTCCTAGTGTTCCCCCAGGATCTTGGGTATTGGTTTTTTTGACACTGACTTCCCTCATTCCATCTTATATTAGTTCTCTAAGTCATATCACTGTCATTTATTTGATCTCAAGGATTGACAAATACTTAATATTTTCAGCTGCTAAAACATCAGTTCTTGCTCTTGTAATTTCATGTTTGGATTGCAGCATTACTATTTTAACCAGTCTTCCTATCCATTCAGTTCTCATCTTTTTTTCTTTCCCCAAACAGTTTAACTTTTTCCATTCTTCATAGTGTTCACATTATAATGTCTGGGTTATTTACTCAACTGCACTAGCTGATCAACAGCCTTAGGGATTTAAATTTAAGTTCAGAGGTATTATCTTATTTAAAATTATTCACTTTATAGCTTCGATATACCAGTCTTAGATAATGCTAGTCTCCATCCCTATCTCCACTACAAATACAAATGTGTCTGTGGATGCAGTTGCATCATGACTCAGTTACAACACAGTTCTGTTTTGTAGTGGAGACGGAACCTTCACTGCATTTTGTAACCAGACTGAGCACCCTGCACCTTTAAGGCGGGGGGGGGGGGGGAGGGGGAGAGATTTGGCTGGCTGGCCAAATGAAGGGAACTGTGCGCTTTATGGCTTGGGGGATGACAACTACTGCAAAAGAGTCAGCGTGGTTGCTGACTCATCCCATGGGAATGAGAGGTTTAAAAGAGGCAGCCCTGTGCCTTAACCCTCTCTTTTGCACGGAGCAGTCTAGGAAAGGTATACAGTGACCAAATAAAAGGCTTGGAAAAGGACTTAAAAAGAGGTGTTCAGTAAAGGAGTGAAGGTGCGGGGCGGGGGGGGGGGGCGGTTGGGGACTCCTATGATTGGTACAGCAGGGAGCCAACCCCCATTATTATAGCCCACCATAACCCTCCTACGGGGGGCGCGGTGGGGGGCCTTGATGGCAAGGTCCCAGCAATGGATTTGCTGGAGGGACCTGGCTGGAAAAAGAGGGGGAGCTGGTAAAAGCCCCCCAGATAATTATGGAATAAACATGGGGTTACCTCCACTGTACACTTATCTGCAGGGTAGTCCCAGACATCTAATAATAAAGTTGCGGCCTGATTAAACCCATGTCAAATTTTCCTGACCTTCGTTCGGTATAGTCAGACAATAAAGCCTTGGACACATCAGGACCTGTGACATGGACATAATCTTTTTCTAGTGTTGTCTGGGTCTGGTCTGAGTCTTAATCCCAGTGCATCCTCCCATCTCAATTTGGTGGCATGCCGGTCCACTTCAAACAAAGTCAAGTAATTCACTCAGTATTTTTTTCAGTTCCTTTTAATTGCATGTTTTATTATTGTCCTGTATTTTCCTTTAAAATGGACTGAAAGTGTTATATAAAAAAATCAAATAATATCTTATTTTTCCCATCCATTTTGCTTTGTTGGCAGATACTCAGAAAACTACATTTCTGACAAATATTTACTTTAAAAAAATCTTTTAAAGAAGAGTAAAAATTGAGATAGCATTTCCTCAGACAAATGAACTCCTCAAACACCACAAATATAGGGTTCTGCTATACAGTAATCCCTGCCAGTCTTCTTGAGTTGTCACTGGTTTGAAAAGCAAGAGAGAATCTTCTTTATTCAGTTTTACAAGATACAATTGTAACTTTTGTTCCTATAAATGATTTCCTGGCTCTTGGGATAATAAATTACTATCAGGAGCACTGGAGACAGCCATAAACGTATGAGAAAGTGATTCTGCCCATCAGTGAGAACAAGGAGTCAACCCCCTTCTTAGTTCTTTGTCTGGTGAATTGTGTCTATTGTTCTCCTGAAACAAATCCAGAAAATGAAGGACAACATGAACCCACACCACAGACAAACTCATTGGAATGAGTTCACTCTTTATGGAAGATACACCTTTTAAAATGTCCTTTACTACAGTATCTACTGTTTAACTGACAAACTTTAATATTATGAAGGATGATAAACTACAAGCAATAAGTGTTTAAATATTTATTAGGTGAACATGCTTATCAGGGCTAGAAGCAGCTGCAATGTGGATGAACAGGACAGTTTATTTTTCAATCCTTGATAGGGTATGTCACAGATTAAAATAAAACCACGCTCCTTGTTTGATTAAATATTCAGGAAACAGTAGAGTACTGAGATGGGAAAGCTCTTATAATGAACCTATAAACACTTCTTTGTTCAGAGAACTCTTCTGCCAAATAGTCCAGTCACAAATATTGCACCTTTTCTGGTGTAACACTTTACCTGTCATCCTCCCAAACCAGAAGATTAAAGAGAGAGTTTTCAGGCTGGACTATTGCATTTAAGGAAATAATCCTCCAACTAAATTAAAAAAAAGATGTAAAATTGTCACTGTGGAATCATTTGGCATAAAGGGAGCACAGAGTGAATTCTACTCAGCTGAAATACCTTATGTTGCTTCTCTCAAGGCCAAACATTTTTTTCCCTTTCCAAATTAACAGTTCAGCTCTAATTATTTAAAAAAGGCTCTTTAACACATAGTAATGTCTATTTGTTGGTGTCACATAGAGTGAAATACTTGCAGCTCCTCTAAATTTTCCCTTTCACCAAAATAAAATGTGATTTTTCAGGGAATAAAGAACACTTTAGTTGCCTGAGACAAATATGTGATTTGCTTAGTGAGGCATGTTGCCAGTTTTCAAAAGTACTGTGATCACTGGCAGAAATGGCAGAAGCTCACAATCAACCAATATGCCAGTTCTTGTAAAAACTAACAGAATCTGTTTTCCATATATGAAAAGTTGCAGAGCAAAAACTGGTGTCTGTAGAGCTGTATTCAATACCCTCCCATCCTCTAACACATCACCACAATTTTTAAGTATACTTAATTCTGTTTCATTTGGCTTCTGAAAATAGAAAGATTATATTATATGATGCACCTCATCCCAAATTAAGCCTAAAATGCGCATTCATGAGAGAGTATCAGCTAGTGATTATAGTAGGGGAAAGGGAAAGAGGACTTCTGGGTCCTGGCTCCTGAACTTGTCACTGACCTGCTAGGTGTTCTGAATAAGTCGTTTATCTTCTAATGCCTCAGTTTCCCCACTGGTAATAATACATTACAGGGATGCAGTGAGGTTTCGTTAATAAAGATGTGTAAAGTGCTCTGTGATTCTCAAATGAAAATTGCTATAAAAATATTCTTTGAGATTTGCAAAACAGGCTAGGAGGATTAATGTGCCTAAATCTCCTACACTGTTCTGAAAAATCTCTAGTGTTGTTATCTCTATTCAGTGAAGGTCTGTTGCAGAGATGCTTATACCTGCAGTCTGCATTCATGGCTTTTAGCAAGGCTGGTTAATTTGAAAAGGCTTGCCAATAAATAAAATGAGACCATCAGCATTATTTCAAGAAAGATCTTTAAATGATGGTTGATAATTCTAACAGTAGGATTAAATTTCAAATTCCCCCTCCCCCCAAAAAAGATGAAACAAAACTTCAGTACTAGAGGGTATAAAAATCATAGGAGGTATAAAAACCTATTTTGCTATTCTGTTTATTAATTGATCCACGCTCTCCCTTAATGCTTGGGCTAACTTTAATTTGCCATTCATGATGGGTTTGGATACTTTTCCAAAATTAGGTTTCCTTCCCACACTGTTCTCACTCTGTAACCTCTTGCCCTACCCTTTTCTCATCTCTCCTACACACAAAAGCGTCATTGAGACAACTAACTCCCATAATGGTTTATGCCAACAAGTGGCTGCTTCAAGTCGAAACTGATGTATCGTCTAGGACTGGTAAAGCATATTAAATATACCGTGGCTGATTTCCTCCTTTCATGTGGCTAGGATACCTGTACGTCAGTCATCTACTGTACTCTCTGTAGTTATCACACAAAAACATTTATTTATTTGATTCTTACCTTTTCAATTTTCTCATCTAGCATTCTGAAGAATTCCTGTTGGCTTTCAGAGATGTGCATGCTGAAAGACATGAGGGAAGAGTGTCTATGTAGGCACAGATTTATCTATTTTCAAATTAATACAGTATTCCAAAATTATTTAGAGATCCAATCTCAGACTCTGGATTACCACTTGGAAAGAGATGTACTTTGTGCTTATGCCAACAATGACAGTAACATCAAATGGCATATGTAACACTGGAAAGCTCCCCACTCCAAAGCTGTATAGAATTCTGTCAGAAGCGGTCTAAGGGCCCAGTAGTGCAAGGTACTGAGTCAGTGAGAGTTCTTTAGACAGGCTGAAACTCCCATTAACTGACAAAGTTTTGCCCATATAAGGACTGGAGGATTTGGCTGAATGTATGCATGTTACTCCCATTAATGCTATTAGGAATTGTGTGCATATCAAGAGGAGACTGAATTCCTTCAGCATCTTTTCTTTTTGTCAGACAGACTGCAGGAACTTAATATTCAGCTACATACTCCAGAGGCGGAGGCTGAACTAGCCAAGTACTGACAGACCCCTCTGTGTTGAAACTGAAGATTTCTAAGATTGTAGAGTGCACCATCACACCAATCAGAGGCCTACAATGTGAAACTAAAGCCCATTTTATAACCTTACCCTGAAAGGTCCTTTTGTAGAGCACAGTCTTACCACAGTCAAGCTCCATGTTAAATAGTCGGGAATCTGTTGCACAACTCTCTTTTTTTAATCCCCAGACGGGAGTTTCACTGCTCTCAGACACTCAGATCATTTACTTCCATTAACTCCGCAGCACCAGGAGGCTCACGTTTTAGTGAAACTGTGTTTTGCATTAGTGTGCAGCATTGGAAAATACTATTATTAGTTATCTGTAAAGCGCTGACAGCATGCTTGTATGAAACAAGACACAAAAGACAACAGACAGGCCTTGCCCCCAGGGGAGCTTACAATCTGAAAATACAGAAAGGTCAGATACAAAAAAAGGACAGGGACATTCAGAGGATGGTGCTTAGAGGGGTCTTTTTAAAAAAACAACAATAAAGTATTGGGCGATGAGAGCATTTTTAGTGATGTGGATAAGCCTATTTGTGGAGCTCACAGGAAAGTGAGTTTTCAGGTGAGATTTGAATGAAAAGAGGGTCTGGTGTGGTGTCTGGCACATTAGGATAGAGCAGGAATGCCAGGCACTGATCAAAGCATAAAGGAAGAGTGAGAAATAGAAAAGGGGTGCAGATCTTAACAATGCTGTCGGACAGTTAAAGAGAAACTGCAGTTTGATAATGCCACTATTTAACTAATATGAAAAGTTGATCCAGCTTGTTAAATTCAACTCCCAAATTGTCCCGAGGTTTGACTTTTTCAGTATGATACTTTGAGCTGTAACAAGTTAATAACCCACTCAAATGCCCAATGACATGGTCTAACAAAGCCATGCATGTATGCTGTATCTGCTATCAGGATGAGGATATACAGCGCTCTGCTCATGTTAGGACCTTGAATGAAAATTAGGTTTGAAAGAGAGGGAGGGAAGCTGGAAGTTAAATTACAATCTAGGTCAATTTATTAAGCAAGAAAGAATTTTAAAGAGTGGATTAAAATAAGTGAATAATATCGAAGTTTTAGAACCAAAGAAAACAATTTGTTCATGTCATTACTTCAGATCTGCTTTCTATAACTATTAGGCTTACTGCATTGCCAACCAGTTTTCAGTAAGGGCATATATAGGTCACAAACTAATTTCTCTATCTGAGATACAGCACACACACTGTGTTGGTGTGGACAGAAACATAACTCTGATACATCATTTATAAGATAACGTAGCAATTTAGCTCCAGCAGATAACCCAATTGACATGCAAAGTATGACAGAGACAACCAGAATGAGCAAACAAGCACGACAGCCTAGTTATCATACTACATTTTCTTAGGAGGAAAGAGCATTTGAAATTCATGTCTGCCTCCACAGCTCTCAAAGTGCCAGCTTCCAACACAATAATAAGAGACTTTCAGGGCCTACCAAAGATGTCATTTTCAGGAAGACTATTTAATTACTGGAAAAAAATTATCTACTGCTATGTGGGTAAAAAGATCATTCAAAATAGTTTATTAGAATACTTCTATCATTAAAAGTCTGTATAAACTGTCACTGTAATAAACCGTTATCTTCAGAAGTGCATAACTTGGCAGTAAAATTGCCATCGTGTTGGAGATGCAATACAGAAAATGCTGACTTAATAGATACTCTCTGGAATTGTGTAAAATTACAATAATACTGGGAATACATAAAGCAAAGAGTGAATGAACTACTGGAAGAGAATGAAAACTACCCAAGGATCTAAGGTGGTACTCTGGGGTATTCCTCTTCAAGAAAATGCTTTTGACAAATAGAAATGTCTGAATAATCTTTTTTCTTGTGATATTTTATGTGTTAGACATCACGAGAAATCTGAAACTATCTTGATGTGTATGCATTTTATAAGTTTCATAGTGTGCCACTAGTTAAGAATGAGTTGATACAGGGAAATAATGTTTTACAAAAATTTGGATTCCATGGCTAGATACAATAGTACAAAAAAGATTATTTCTTTCATTATACTTCCTAAAGTCCCCATCCTGAGATTTATGCACGTGAGTAGTTCCAATTACTTAATGGGATTAATCACATATGTAGACGATAATTGTCTGAGTAAGTCTTTGCAAGATCTGGGCTTTGATTTGTAAAATCCAAGTTCTGCTAGGTGTAGCAGTAATCGCCATGATTGTACTTGTACACTTAATTCAACAAAAACTGATATTTAACAAGTGATTAGCTAGTAAGTTGGTATCCAGACCTGCAAAGATGTTTGTGTAAATGTATACATGAATTCAGTGGAAATACTTCTGTAAGTAAAGCCTGTCAGTGGGTAAGTGTTGGCAGGATCAGGTCATGTTGGATAAATAGTGCAGGTTTTACAGAACAGCCTAATGTTATAAGAGAGAACAGTATATTTATTTTTGTAGAAAGACAACAGAACTTGCCTATTATCTTATCAAGGAGCATTTCTTTTGTTAAATCTGGTTTCTGTAGGAACGTTTTAAACTCCTGCTTGAAAACAAAAAAGGATCAACCAAATTACATAGAAAATAAATCGTTAATCTCTTCCTGCCTCAGATGCAGCTGAACAGATGGCTGACTAAAGTAATTTTTTCCCTTTAACCCAATCTGATAGTCACCAAGCTAGCAATGGTAGCCAGAGAGGAAGAGCTACATTGTGCTCCTGTATCCAAGCGTGTCTTTACATCCATGAACATGGTTTGAGTGAAGTAAAATACTGCAGTACTTACTGCCTTGTTGAAGGGTACAAATTGTCCCTCTCACCCAAATGAATTGCTTTCCATTTATATCTGTTTTCTAGACTAAAAAAAAATAATAAAAAAGCTGCACTGTATTTCAAGGACTCTCTTGAAAGTTATATGATGTGACAATTTGCACAATGTACTTTGAATGCAGCAAGTTTAAGTTTATACTGTGCCTGTAGGGCTCTTATCTCTAGTAAAGAACAGTGTCTCCTTTATTGCTTAGAATGCAACAACACTGCTTTATCATTTCACTGTTAAGTACCAAATCTATGTTACCATGAAATCTCTTATTTTCAATTCAGTTGGTGACTAAAATGTAATGGTGATTGAGATATGAAACAAGTAATTAATACTGGCAACTAATACTGTCATAAGAGGTAAATATGGCAAGGCAGTGCTGTGTTTAATACTGACTGATTTCAAAAGGAAATAGCAAGAGAACTTTAATCTAAGGGTTGCATAAACTGACTGCAACATAGCACACTGTCAGCATATAACAAACACCATCATCATCTTAAATGGAAGTAGTTTAGTCTAATTCCCAAATTTGTTATGCTGTTTATCTACCAAAGTAAGCCTAAACATTGGACAGAATCTTTGTAAATAACATCTGGTTAGGGTGCGGGTGAATGTGTATTTATTTATGTGTATAAACAAATGTATCATATGAGAACTATAATGTAGTGAGGTACCCTGGGAAGGTGTGGCAGGGTAAATCTATGCAACAAGAAAAACAAGTTTTGCATCTTTGAAAATCAAGCCAAGAACAAGGTATTGCAAGGATGGCTGAAGTTCAGCCTCTGACCCACCTAATACCTATGGAATTGTACAGCATGTCTCAAGGGTACTTCCATCATGAATACAGCCATGCTCAGAGACTAAATATCCTGGCATGCAATGACTCTGCTTGATCTGAGCAGTTCTCAATAGGCCATCCATCTGCAAGAAAAATGTGAGGATGGCTGCATTCTTCTCTGTTTTATTTAAGCTAGGTGTGACCCTTCGGTTGTTGGGGGAGCTACCAATGCAACCTTTACTTGGGCAAAGTTTGGATATTTTGGGGGTACTGTTTTAATTCAATAAGCATTCATTTCTATTAAAATTATGGAGTGTAACTTACTTTGCTCTGGGTTGATGTACTAATCCTGGAACCTCTTTGTTAGATTTAAGTCTTACATTTGAACTGGCACTTTTTTCCTGAAACACACAAAAACACATATACAATCAGCATTTATTAAACATACTTTCTGTATATTTGTCCTCAGAATGTTACTCTCTAGTACAGAGAAACCAGCCTCTGCAAATGGATTTGTAAAAATCCAGGTATTTATAAACATAAAGCATTAACCATGAGGAAACCAAATAAAAAAATATTTTAAGGAAATCTAGAACAGTTCTGTAATAGTACAGCTAGCGGCCTACAGATACTCTTGTTAAAAATGACAAACGTGGACCCGATGGCTCAGAGGATTTGTAATAGGATACAGAACCTTGGGTCTCCAGGTCACTGGTTCAAATCTAACACAGGCTGGTAGTGATCAAAGTTGTTATTATCAGATGACTGTCTAGTGGCCTGTGCAAATCTGAGTCTAGTTACTCGTAGACAGGTTACCTGCCAAGTAGCACTAATTGGCACCTTTCATGAGGTGGTGAGGCAAAATACTGAATGGTCACAGAGACTGAACTAACCTTTTACCTATAGAGTTAGCTCTCTCAAAAAGAGGGCTGGAGTTAAAGACTTCCGTCTCCCAGGCTGTCAATTCAGCACCTTGTTGAAAGTGCTAAGATCACACTCACACACTCAATTGCCAAGTTCTCTCTCTTTCTCATGCACATGCACACTTTAGTTCTTTTGTAGCTCAAAACATGGGTGGGTGGATAAGTAAAGCAGCAGCAGCAAATTTTGGGGGCATGGTAATGGAAAGAAGTATCACTGAAGAAACTTCTTTACGTAGAACTGTTAGAGCTTTAAATTAAAGTCAAGTCAATATTAGGAGTAAACTGTAGGCATGCATTTGTCATAGTGCAGCTGACCAGAGCGAGCAACACAGGGAGAACAAAAAATCAAATGTGGTTGTAAAATTAATAAAGGAGCAGTTATGGAGATTTTACCTATTCGGACATAAAATAAGACAGAAAGGGACAAAAGAATAAATCAAGCAATATGCTTATGGGCAGGTACACAATTGTGTCCTGTACACAGAATAATTAAACCAAAAAAAAGGGGGAGGGGGGCAAAAAAAGAGAAAATCCTTGGCTTGGCTTTGAGCCAGCATTTCAAGGTAACACCTTGTTTTCAGTACAAAAATTTGCTATGAATCAAAAAACTTGGCATACAAGGTGTCACTTACCTTGACAAAATTTTGAAAAGAATATGGTCATTTTTTACTTAAATATTATTAAAGTGATTTGCATTAGAAATATCTGACAGTACAGATGGTGTAGAACAGTCAAATGTTAGGCTATCAACTAAATAAATCAATCTAATTTCCTTGGCACTTGGCTGCTGTGACCATTTTTGAAAAGTTAAACACAAAAAAATAATTTTTAGATTTTGTCTGTCTTCTATAGTCTCATTTAAAAAACCTGAATGGATCAATCACTTTAAATTATTTTTAATAATAGGCTGGTGAGTTACTTGATTTTAAAAGTGGGTCAATATACAATTAATTCTTGAATGAATAATTCCATAAGGACTGGAAGCATCAACTTTCTATACATGCTTGACACTTTTTCTGGTGCAAATCACTGTAACCTTTCTGAAAGGACTGCAGACTAAGTGGTATCTTACTTGAAAATGAGTTAATAAAATTCAGGAAAAAACAAGCCTAAACTTGGGCCTTCACTCATATCTTTACATCTTACCAGTCATTATCTCACCATTATTCAATGGAACAATGCTGAAGCATCAGGATAAAGAGTGCATCCCATCTTCTGAATTCATTTGCTTTCATAGCATTTTTTAATCTTGCTTCAACAGTTATTTGTCGATGACTTTTTTTGTGCATGTAAGATAAGCCAATAAAATTGTCAAGTGAAAGAGGAGTAGATCTCAAGGCTAATCAGAGGGAAAGAGAGATGCTAGGCTGGTAACTTATCAGAAACAGAGGTACAAGATCAACTTCCAGTCTCATATACATGGCATGTCTTGCTGTTGTATCCCAAAATATCTGCTGCTGTGCTAGCCAGCATGTGATAATGGATATTGGAGACATATAGTGATGTGTATCACATATCTGGAGTTAGAATACAACCCAAAGTATGCAAGTTCAGTGGCTACAGGTGCACGCCACCTAGTAATGAAAATAGAAGTTGAATTCTGTGATCCCCACTTTCTCAACACTCATATGCCACACCTCTTTTCATACCACTTCCTGCACTCCTCCCAAAGATACACACCATGTCTCTGCCAATTTCTATCACCAGTGCAAAGTAAAAGAAAAGAGAGCTGTGATTTACACCTTGCTCTGGTTTCAAGCAGAGCTAAACTACATCAGTGTAAATCACAACTTTCCTTGTCTAGTGCAAACTCCAAAAGTAGTTTAGCTACATGGGTGACTGGAATCAGGACAATCCCCACTACTGACAAGGCCTTGGTTGGCTTCTGAGGAGAAACTTGTCAATCAAGAGCAATTAAAAGACCAGAGAAAAAAATAATTTGCCTTTATATAGAGACTTCTGTTCATAGATCTGAAAGCAGCATACAAAAAATTAATTAAGGTAGCCCCCACTGCCCTGGTCATAGTTTTATACCCATGCTACAGATGACAAAACAGGTGCAGAAAGATTACCAAGGTCACTTTGGAAAAATTCATGGTAGAGCTGGGAACAGATTCCCAGATCTCGACTTCCAGTCCTGTGTTTTTGTGATAATTTCTATTACCCTACGAAATGGGCATCAATAATTAATACATTTCAATTATTTTATCTAATCAGAGTATGTTTCTTCTCCCCTGGATTCTCCATCTGTTGCTCAGCTGGAGTAATGGGCAGAATAAAAGGAATTTAAAAAAAAAAAAAAACAACCCCAGAAAACAAATAAAAACTGCGCCCAAATCATTCTTGTAAGGTTCTGTCTTAAGCTGGCTCATCGCTATGTTTATAGCTATTATTTACCAGCAATATTTTGTAACATAGGACAAATATTTGCTCTATAAAAATAGATTTCCATAAATAGTTCTCCAAAGCATAAACAAAATATATCAAATATTTCCCATAATTTGGAAGACAAATTAATTCAGTAATAATTAATTGTCTGAATTCTTATATCAAATAAAATCAACCAACAAAAACTTACAAATGATTTGGAACTATCAGGCTATGTATTTGGTGAGCCTATGTAACTATGCAGTGCTATTTATGTTACTCTTCTCCACCCCCATAAACACATCCTTATTTTGTGCCGAGTTAATTCAGGCACCCATCCTGATAATACTTAATATGCAATACATATATATAACTGTAACCCTTCTGCCCATCTAAGTTGGCAGCAACAAGGGCCGGGTTCTGTATCTAGGGGTTCTGTTTCAATAACGCAATGCAAAACCGGCTTGAGCCCCCACCCAGTGACCTGGGACAATTACATACCACCCCCTGGGTGCCTCTAAGAGGCAATACTTCCCCTCTCGCAAGCACGGAGTCTGAGTGTAACAGAAAGTGTTTAATAACATGAGGTAAACGACATCAGCATTAAATTGGAAAAATACCACAAACAGGATTCATAACACAAACCATGATCAAAAAACCCACCCCAGCAAATTGGGCTGTGTCCTTTCCCTTTGGTTCTTGAATCCAGCAACCCAAAAATCACCCAGAGTCCCCAAAGTCCAACACCCCCAAAGTCTCTTGGGTCCAGCAACCACCCAAAGTCCCAAAAGTCCAACAGACCCCAAAGTCTCTGTCCCTGGTCAGTGCAGCCCCAGAGTAAAAGGGGAAGGGGCACGCAGAGTGTTAAGGGGCACCTTACGTGATTCAAGGCCGTCTGGCCGTCTCTCTGTGGGGTTCCGCCACAGCCTTCACCACGAGCCAGTCCACTTCCTGCCGCCCCACAAACTGCTCCGCTCTACAAGCTGCTCCGCTCCGCTCACCGACCTGTGAGCCGCTCCAGCCGTCCCCGCAAACAGCTCCGCTCGCCGTTCCTTGGGCCGCTCCAACCGCCCCCGCGCCGCTCCTCCAGTCGTCCCCACAAATTGCTCCACCAGCTGCTTAGCAATATAGCTTCAGGCTCCCCCACTAGTTAACACAGTACTCAGTGATCTCAGCTCTTAATAACTTTAGCTCTTTTGTGATTTCAGCTCTTAGCAATTTCAGCTCATAGTAGGGGAGCCCCAGTGCTAGTGCACCATTGGCCCAAAGTGAATTCAGCTCAGCAGCCTGTAACTAGACTCCTAATGGAATCAAAGTTAGCTCTGACAGTCAACAGTGGAGAGAGAGAGAGGAGGTAGCGCAATTGGTGTTTCAAACCCTCAGAGGGAGGCCCATACCATCAGGTACAAATACCTGTCCCCATCCTCTCTCAATTCACTGGGCTTTGTAACCCATGCCCCTTGTCAAGCAAGTGCTACTTAGGTAATGGTGAAGGACTCACTCAGTCCTTCTGTCATACAACAGTTCCACTGGCCTTGATTCTCAGAATCA